TCATACAGGAGAGGCGTGTGTTGTTTTCGCTGAGAGCAGGGACCTCCACCGGACCCGGCCTGCGGTCCCACATTTATCCCGATGTGGGCCGGTGAGCGCCGGGCAGCTGTGCGTGCATCATCGACACAGTGCCGTTGGATGGAGGCTGCTTGTCTCGCTCGGGAGCGCGTAAACACCGTTGGGAGGTGATCGTGCGGGCCTGATTGACAACAAGTTATTTCGCTTACCGTGGTGTCACGTGAGCGTCTGGGCATGTGAGGGAGCGGCGGTGGATTTAAAAAACCTTTATTTAAGGACACCGGCTCTTTATGAGTGGAGGGTGTGTAGCGGCTGTGAGCTCATCCGAGCTTACAGACTGGCTAAAAACAGGCGTTTTGATCTTTGAAAAATCATTTATTCAATTCCTGTGTCATTTATACACACATCCTCCGCAGACCGTCATTTCTTAAAACTTCTCCCCCGTGAGCTCTGCGGTTTGTTTGCTCCGAGCGCCGTCTGCAGGCGATCTCTGGGGAAAACGCTGAAGTGCAGGCTGCCGGACTGAGGAGGGGTGGTCTCTGGCGGGCGGGGCTGGTGGTGGAGCTGGGCGAGACGAAGCTGCTGCTGCCGTGGAGCGTCGATGTCTCTGCCTCTGCTTTTGACGATCTCTCCAGCGGGCTGGAGGACGGAATGAGCCGCGCGGCTAGATGAGATGGCGTACAGCTTCCGACGTCTCCTCCGACTGCTTCGAATTCGTCAGCATGGACGTCAAGCTGCTTCCGAACAGCGCGTCCGATGAGATGGGGCCCTCCATCCGGTCTTTGTGCAGCTTTTCCGGCAGCAATGGAGAGTGACGGAGCCAGATGGAACGTTGGATTACCGTCATCCATGCTACAATCCTCGACAGGCAACCCGAGGGAGCGGCGCACATGTTGAGGATGGCGTCTGCCGATCTACACAGGGAGCTCTTAGTCTCCTCCGGCAGGTCTGAGGTCTCAGCCTTTTCGACATGCTAAATGCTAGCAGCGCATGTTGTTGCTAACTGCGGTTGCCTGAAAACACGTCGGTGGGCTCGATTGGAGAGCTTTGGTCGCCGTCTGGTTCCTCCGGAGGGACGGGACGCTGCTCCGACCTGGACAGCTTCGCTCCGGAAGCTTCCGCGAGGCTTGGCTCCAGGGGAGGGAACCGAGGAATAGCGTCAGTTGCCTTACAGAAGGAGTTCTTTGTCTCCAAGGCAGGTCTGCGGCCTTCAGTCCCTTGGACATGCTATATGCTAGCAGCGCACGTTGTTGCTAACTGCGGCTGCCTGGAAAAACACGTCAGTGAAAAATAACCTTTCCGCCGATCATCCGAACTGGCGGGAAAAGGCGAGGGACGTAGAAAAAGGGGGTCCCTTCATGTCAGCCTCCTCCCGGGTTCCGCCGGGCAACCCCTGAGGGCGCTGTCGGCCGGGAGCGGTGTGATCGCCGATGCGAAAACGAGGTGGGATGGGGTGAGCATTCACTCAGCCCCCCTCCACCTACACTACGCTCCCCGGGAGGGAATGAGCAGCGGGGGCTGCAGCTGAGCACACCTTGCCCCGGAGGAACCATCCGGTTCGCCCCGAGGGTCGGCGATAAGAGGAAAAAACACAAGATGGCGTTGTCCAGCGTGTAGTGACCTGTCACTGGGAAATGTTCCACGACGCTTACCTTGGAATAAGACTGCTGTCATCTTCTCCTCGGGGAGGAGAACTCACCGGACGACCGGAGGTCGACTGCCGGGCCCAGCATCCTTCACAAGGTTGGTCATTTACACAACTTATCTTCTTTGTTCTTCTGACAGTGCTATATTAGCTCGCTGAAGAAAAAATGGGAGCCGATTTCCCGCTCTTAACGTAATTTATACGGACCGGGTAGGGCCCACACAGCGGGTGGGCGTGGACTAATTTTTTTCAGTGCTTATGCTCTGCATAACGGGATAAACCCACTAAAGCGAAGGCCTTAAAGGGCGAAGCTTATATGACATAGAACAGTAATAACATCTAAGATATGAACTAAGAAAAACATCAACTAAATATACACTAAGCACTCATAACATAAAACATTGAACATCAGCACAAACATGAACATGAGT